ATCTGGAAACCAAATCACCGGACAGTGATGCTGGCTTTGTCTTGTCCTCATGTTCAACACTGTAGTTCATCAAGTTACTATAGTTGATACTGCTTCTTACGTAGCTGTTTCCTCAGTTTTTGGAAGTCTCTGCAGTATGGATATCAGAGCTAGCAAGCTGATGATCACACTAGCAAGCTGGACATGGATGGGCAGCAGCCACCTTTTTAAATGTTGCTTTGCACAGCAGTAATTGTGCCTTAAGTAACATAAAATATTTGCTTCTACCAATTCTTATTCTGTGAGAAAAATCAATTTCCATTTGTCTCATTTGACAGTTTTTACTGCCATCCATGCTTTGCTGTGTGCTTCCAGTTTATGGTTTTATTTTGCCATTCAGTGTCCTAATGCCCATTTGTTTTCTGCATGAAACCAGTAGTATTAGTAACTTTCTCAAATGTGGTGTTTGGTGGTGGATAAATATGCTTTTCAGTAGGATGTAAGGTAGTGAAGAGGGCATGGTGGCTGAGTTTCTGATCGTGTCCCCATTTGATCCTTAGAGAAGAGAAAGCTGGAAGACATCAGCATGAGTGCATGTTGATGTAGCTTTGCCTCTGTTTCCTTTCCCAAACAACTTTTGGTGGGAAGACTTCCTCAAGGCAGGATGGGAAAACCGCCTGAGCGTATCAGATCTCTGCCAGGCTGAAGGGTATTCATGTCAAGATTTTAAGAACAGCAAAACCAAAAGAAATAATGTAAAAAAAAATCCCAAACAAAAAAACTCCCCCAAAAAACCCTTGAGCTGGAGGTCAGGGCTGAAGGAAGTCAGAGTGAGTCATCAGAGTTGGAAGGGACCTCTGAAGTCCAACCCCCCTGCCAGAGCAGGATCACCTAGAGCACATCACACAGGAACGTGTCCAGGTGGGTTTTGAATGTCTCCAGTGAAGGAGACTCCACAACCTCTCTGGGCAGCCTGTTCCAGGGCTCTGTCACTCTCACAGTAAAGAAGTTTTTCCTTATGTTTTACTTGAACCTCCTGTGCTCCAGCTTGTGCCTGTTGCAAGGGAGGAGATGAGGGAACAGGGAAGAGAAAGGGGTGCAATAGTCTGGGGCAGCAGGGCAGGGTGCAGAGTGTGTGTTTTTGTGAAGTTGGAAGGAGAGTGGTTGGGCCAGGGCAGTGTTTTGTAACTTGTGACTTGCTCCATAAAGGATGGGATGGGAATTCTGAGCCCAGCAAGACTGGAAAGAAAACAACGTGGAAAAACTAGACAAGCCAAGGAATTGGGTGTCACAGGACAAAGAGGAGGAGCTCGCAGTGCAGTCACAGTGAGCACTTCTGATGCTGCCACTCCTCAGCAGAAGCATGTAGTCTGGTTTCCTTACTGTGCTCAAAGGCCTCCCAGCCCCACATGTATGTCCTAACTTTCTGGCTTGCCTCCTTGTGTCTGCTCTGCCCACAAATCACTCTGTCCACAGCTTTGCTCCATTTATACGGACCATTTGATTTCATCTGCCAAGTCAGCACATCAGTACCTCTTACTATAGAGTTCTTCCAGCACTGCTGCAAGACCAAGGCAGCAAGCCCAGCTCGGGGCAGAGAAGGGATGTGGCTAAAATGCTGTAAAACTCCCTTCACTATCAATTGCAAGTCTTAGTGCTTTCTTAATAATGCTAGTAACTAGTGGTGCTGTAATATTAAACTGTTCTTCTCAAGAATTTGAAGCATCCGAGTCCCACCAGCATGTCAGAAATCTACAGTGCTACTTGCTATGCAGAGGTGGATTGTCACACCTGGTGGAGTACAGGACATGCTTGTTCTCCCCTAGCAATCCATCGTTTAGGGAGGGAAGAAGCTGTGAAACCTGTCTTGTTCTATGTTGCTGTTTGTGATTACTTCAAATGTTTGCTTGTAAGTTGTGCCAGCTCTTACGGGAAGTGAGTTATAGTATTAGCAAAACTTCTCAGTATGATTGGTAAATACAAGTGCTTGTTACAGAGCAAGATAATAATCTACATAAAGTATCTTATGACATTAATTTTTACAGTACCTAAGCTCTCCAAATTAGTAGATTTGTTGTCAGTGAAATTTATATGCTTAAGAAGGAGTGGGAGGAAGGTACTCTGAGCTGCCCAGGGCTGCATGGGTACAGAGGAACAACCTCTTTTGTTTACTTACACTGAGGAGCTGATGCAGGGTGGACTTTCACCCAAGAGTTTTCTGTTGAATACTTGCATTTAGTTTCCCCAGCCCCTCATAAAGGAGGCTGTCTGTGGCTTCCAGACTTTCTGGGAAAGGGTGAGAGCAGGGAAGGGAAGAGGACTCTGGTTTATGACTTTTTAAAAAAATTGTTCTTTTTTTTAATCTTAAAATGAATTTGGCAACTCTATAAATCTCCCTTAGGAAAGCAGCCTGTCTCCTGGAGGATTGCTCCCACTACTTCAGTCTTCTTTTAAAAGAATCTAGACAATGAAAAAGCAAAGAACTTCCAGGGCTTGTTGGGATGTATTGATTCATTGTCAACTTGACAGCAAGAGCTGCACTTGAATGCATCTCCACAAAGATACCAAATAGCATTAGCCTCTTACCCTGCCTGTGCAAAAGCTGCCTGCTCCTTTCTCTCAGCACCCCATTCCGCTACCTCAGGAACTGACAAAGCCAAAAAGAAATTCTTCTGCCTTGGAAAGTGCAGAAGGCTCTGCAGCAGGGAGTCCTGAGTCCCAGAGGCTTGTGCTGTGGTGAACTAAGGCAGCAGCCTGTGCTTCCCATGGGCTCTTGGCCAGAGGCAGAGCTCCTCCTAAGCAAGCAGTGAGACAGCATGACTGCTGAGCTGCCCTGTGAATTAAAACTCCATGAGAAGAATCCCTCTGGTGAGCAGAAAAGCCAAGAGAAATCAAGTTCTTTTTAGCACCAAAATCTGATTTGTTTCCTCAGGCTCTTTCTCAGCAGAATGCACATTCTGTGTATTTTACTGAAGGATTCCCCAGTAAGGTAGACAGAGATGGAAGAAAAATAAGTGATTAGGCGTCAAGAGAGGGTTTTGAGCAACCACCAAATCCCTGTGCATCCTCAAAGGAAGAGGAGAACAGCCTATGCATGTCTCAAGCAAGCCAGGGGCACAATATAAAGGCATCGTGCCAGTTTTCCTCTAGATTTTAAATGCTTTCTGTATTGAAATATACAACATACATTCCAGACATAAAAATAAATGTTGACAAGTACAGTTATATCCTGCTCCATTGCTGGGTGTATATTTTCTGAATGTTGCCATCTGGGACTTGCAAACTTGTTTGAGTATGTGGAAGGTATTTTTCCACTCCATAGCACACTTCCTCTGCAAGTGTGTGCACATCTTTAGGTGTGCAGCAGCACCCACGTGTGCAGCGGGGGTTGGGAAGGCTCTGGCACGGGTTGCTGGGTGAGCCACTGAGCCTTGCAAAGCCACAATAAAGGCATGTACTCCATACCATGTCTCAGGTCACCAGAGTGGTGCCTGGCATGTTTCAACAAAAAGTGATGGCTGTAGAACTCAAGTGCTTTTCAAAAAAAATTCATAGGGCATTTATTCCATAGTTCTGTTGTAATTTCTTTAGGTAATATGCAGTGGATAAATTTACAAGCCATTCTGGTGATCCTGTTACAATGTATGTATTATGACTAATCAGTGGAAGGTTCATTACATTGGAAAAAAACCCTCATGTTCTGTGAAGATAAATCATACCTTCAAACTCCAAGTTAGAATTTCTTGGAGCCAACCACATGGGCAGGAGAGATTGAATTGTGTACTTATTTTCTGAAGATTCTTTAAACACCACTCAAAAAAAAAAAAAAATTAAAGACAACATTATTCAGAACAAGGTGTTCTAGATGACCATTTTATAACGTGTTAAAGCACTTTTAAAACATGTCATACAGACATACTTAAACTTTGGTATAATGCCAAAAACTTTCAGGATTAATATTACTATTTCAATTATAGCCTGAAGAATTCAGTGGAATAATGCAGAGATTAGCAGCTTTACAGCTTACTGAAAAATCCAGCATGTCCCAACAGAACACAGTTTAAATATTTGCAGTAGTAAATCAGCTGTATAATTACATTATGGGACCACATGTGGTAATTAAGGGGTAAGCCAACAATAGTTTTATTGTTTGCTGCAACAGAGACACTTTAAAGCTGCTTTTTGTTTTGTTTGTTGTGTTGGTTGTTGTTGGTTGGGAGTTTTTTGTCCCCCTTGGTATCTGGGTTCCTTCTTTTGAATTAACAGCCCCAAACCTTCAGTCCACATCAGGATTTAGGGTGAAGATGACTTCCCTGGTTTTACTTCCATTGTGTGTGATCCCTGAGAAGTGTCCCTGCAGCCATCAGCAGGACCTCTGGTGCTGCTCCCCCACCTGTGGGGCTGCTGGCCCCCTGTGTTCTCAGCATTGGTTTAGCAAGAGAAGATGTATGTTTGGAAGCCCATTGGCACAGGCCTGGGCCTGTTTCAGGTGATGCTGTGGACCCAAAGGTGCCTTTTGCAGAGCACACAGCCCTGTCTTAGGGGAAATGGGCCAAATTACTTTTTACACCAGCTGAGCTGGTAGTCATGGAGGGTCTGTGGAGACCCCTTTCCTGGGGGCTGTGGAGCATGGGTTTGTCAGGGTGGTTGAACAAGAGGGCAGGATGTTATATAAACAACTCTAATGTTTTAAGCGATTAATGAAGATCTCTGTGATCCTGAACCCAGACACCAGAAAGGTTCAAATAGTGACAGCCCAGTTAGCCTGAGCCCTCCCAGGCATTTCCATGGGAGGCGAATGGGATCCCACTGCAGGGACTGGCAGCCTTCGCTTTGACTTAATGTCTCATGTGACACAGCTGGTTGATGCTGACCCTGGTGCTCCTGCAGCTGTAACCCTTGCTGTTACGCCCTTCAATAACACTTATTTAAGCCTCAGAGTGGCATCCTTTTTTTTTCTTTTTTTTTTCTTTTAACCCCCTGGGATTTGTGCTTCTTGAGAAAGGTTTGATCTGGAGGCTTCACAAGTTTCTGTGTCTTTGAATCAGTAAAGTCAAGCTTGCAACATCCTTGATGTCGGGGTACAAAGCCATGACGCGGTTCACCTCGCCGTACGGGAACAGGGAGCACAGCTCCCTCTCCAGGTTTGCTTGCTGGGCAGAGGGGGGCCTTGCAGCGGGGGTGGGCCAGTTGTCACTGGAAGGGGCATCAGGGTAAGCATGGGCTTTCTGGAAGAAGCCCAGCCCGTTTCTGGAGTCTAACAGAAAGGGCTGCTGCGGGGGCTGGCGGGGGAAGCGCTGGTGCTGGTGCTGGTACCGGTGCTGCCGGGGCCGGGCCGGGCGGCGGGCGGGCTGCTGTACCCCCGGGACACCCCTTCCCGGGAGCGGAAGGAGCCCCGC